CCTGGGCCACTGCGTCTGTTTGTGTGGGTGTTGTTGTCTGTGTGCGAGTGGTTGTGGTTGTTGTAGCTGGCGCTGCAGAAGCACATGTTGCATTAGATCTCGGCCACTTTGCCCATGAGCGCTACTCACCTGCCGGCATTCGGCGGTACAGCATTTGATAATACTGCTGATAATGCACGAAATTTGGAGGCGAAATTCCGCAGGCACAGCACACTGTTGTTGTTGTAGTTGTAGTTGCTGGGTGAGCGGTGGGTGGGCCTCGCAGTGCTTTTTGCACGGCTGCCGCCCGATTTGCACCCAACAGGCGGTACATTTCGATGAGCTGCAGCTAGACGCACACGTTACACGCAAGTGAGGGCAAATTAACGCAGTTTCTGGCAGTTTTCACACAGCATTTGTTGCATAATTACACACCGATTCCGACCAATTGGTTGTTTATTCCCGCACTTCACGTGTGGCGGCCGCAAGCAGTTGGCGAGCACTGCTTGCTCGGCGAACAGCTGACTGCTATGCCAGGGCTGGCGAGTGAAAAATACCGATAAACTTACTGCGACTTACAATAGGGCTATTTAACTGGCCAGTTACTGTGAAAATCCGTATTTATAGGGCCACCCTTGCACATGTAAAACATTAATAACAGCGAATATAAAATCAAATTTCATGTTGCCTAGAACCCTTTTAAGCATTGCGAAAGAGCAACCCGTTTTAGTATTTTCTTGGTATTATTTGCCCGACCAGCAAAGTACCGTTGTCAACGACTTTTCCGTTAAAAACAAACACAATATTCGAAAGTTTGACGCCAAAATGCCGCCCAAGAAGGCAAAGAAGGGGGCGGGGTCGAAGAAGAAGGAGGAGGAACTGGAGAACCAACCACAGCCGCCGAATGTGTTCCTGTACATCCAGCTGGCGGCCATCGCCAACATGCCCCAGTCGCAGCATCCGCTGGAGATTCACATCAGCCAGGGTGGCAGTTTGCTGGTCAAGTGCGATGAGCACTACAACACCGATGGAATCATTGTCCAGCAGGAGTTCCACTCCAAGCCCACGTTCACGCTCATCTTCCAGCAGGACAACGTGGACCGGATCAACCATGCGGCGGACAATCCGCTCCTCATTCAGCTGTATATGCGCATCTTTCCGCCGAAAAGGGACATTCAAGTGGAGTACGAGGTGCTTGGCGAAGAGGAAGAGCGGCACGATCTGGAGTCGGATTCCGACTCGGTATTGACTGTATCGACGGCTACAACGCAGGATGACCTAATCGATGACTTGTTCGAGGCCAGGGAGACGGTCAAGCTGGTGCTGCTTTGCGTGGGCTATCTGGACGTGATCAAGTTGTTCGGCCACCGGCGCAGCATGATCTGCGAGGAGCTCTACCTCTATCCCATGCCGGATGTGCCCAACGAGATGCGCTCCACCGTCCACACGGAGTGGCACCTCTACACCCTGCTGCCCATCGCCAAGAAGCTGACCTTCACCAACATGGCGTTCGTGACCTTTGAGAGCATCTACTGCCTAAAGGATGAGTACGTGCTGGACCTGGAGACCCTGTGGGTGCGAGTGAGCTTCCGCTCCCGGCTACCCGGCGACAGGAACGATTACACCTTCGTTCCGCTCTGCGAGTTCGGGAACCTGAGGCGGAAGGTCATCTGCATGCAGGACAACCACCATGTGTTCGAGTCCTTTCGGCGCAGCGTGAACCCCTGGAATGTGACCGGACTGAAGTCCGCCATGGAGGTTCAGATGCATCGGCTCTTCACAGAGCTCTTTTACCCCGAGTCCATGGCGCCGGACTTCGGGGAGATCGACCCGGTAATGGATGAGGCCCTCGTCTGCAACTCCTTTCACCGGTTCATCCTAACGCAGAGTATGGCCGATATTCTCTCCTTCGCCATAACCTGCCAGCAGTATGTCCTCGCCGTGGAGGTCTTCCAAACGTTCGGGGCCGCGAAGCCACAGAAGGTTTTCCAAGGGGTTCTGGATCCGTCCATCATGGCTTTTCCAGGGGGTGAATATACTACTCATGCTATCTGAAGAATCCGAGTCTTTATCATTTCAATTCTATTCTGAGCAGTGCAGAACATGAGGTTCGCGGTCCAGCTGGACTACCTCGGAAAACTTAAGCCCAAGAAGATAATGAGCATGGTCAGTATGAAGAGTGTCGAGCGTCCGAAAACCCTCCCCACATTTGCCATCATCAAACTGTGCCTCCTGGCTCCGATTGGAGAGATCTACAAGGAGCTGAAGGTGTTCCGGGACAGCTTCATCCGGCAGAACCGGCTGCTCTTCTGCGATCGTCCTTATGGTACCATAAATGTGATGACCCTGGGCGAAATCCAAATGGAATCCTACGCTCGCTTCGACAAGTTCATCCGGGACTGCATATCCTTCATCATCGACAAGAAGGTGATGAAGCTGGAGGACAGGAAGCAGCACTTCTGCTGTGCTGTTCAAAACCTGACCAACATCCTCATGAAATTGGTGGGCAGTGTCTACAATACGAGGACTCTCACGCATACAAGCGTGGAGTTTGCGGTGCGTAGTCCTCTGGAATGTTGAATAATAAACTCCATTCCATTCCATCTAATCCCCAGAATCTCTGTGCATTTGCGTACAATGAGTTGGAGGCCAGGGTTCACACCGTGGTGGAGCAGATAGAGAACGAGGGCTTTGAAAGTTACACGATCAACAAGCAGATCCAGATGGAGCGTATCATCGACTACATGAACACCGTCAAGCTGCTCCTCATGGTGAATGATGAGAACCTTGCTAACCTGTTGTTGGATAAGGTCAGTTGATTGATTCACTCGGTGGCAATCGCTGGAAATGTGAATCATGGATTAGTTTTGGGTGCTTGGAGTGACCAATCCCGCCATTAAAAACTTTCTTTATAAGAATCGAAGCTTAGTGAATAAGTTAAACTTATTCTAAAACAGTCATTTAGAAATTTTTAATGTTTGTTTGTGAGCAATTTAATTACTTGAATAGTATTGCATTAGGATTAAACTGAGTCATGTAAGATTAAATTAGCAGCTAATTTAAAATTCTAAATAACTTTCCAATATAATATAACCGGAAATGAAAAAGACTTCATCAAAACCTGTAAGTGATTCACGAATATTGTACGCTAATTTGATTAGATTGTATACCTGTATAATGAATAACCGTAGTGTATCAGGTATGAATGAACGAAATTCGGAAGTAAACAATTAATCATTAAGGTGCTTAGGTACAGATATCTACTGGCCAAATTTGTCAACAATCAGATATAGTTATATATGCCATAGGTTTAAATGTAATTGAATGAGTGTGGAATAGATAACCATATAACCATTCTCCATTTACAGGCCATCACGGAGTATCCAAGTAGCGAGCGCTTTCTGTTCTACATGGTAATTGCGTACATGGAACGTGGCGATCTGGAAAAGGCGAAAGAGTACTTCAAAACGAATCACCTGGCGGACACCCACGACTATTTCGCGTAAGCCTTTCGATATCCGACAAAATGAAATGCCATTGCGATATGATATCATAGGGGCTGGATTAAGTTGTACATCAACTACGTGGACACGCGCAACAACCCGGAAACCGCGCCCGACTGCATCGAGTGTCTCTTGAGGAGCATCACCAACTACGCCGAGCGGAATCCGCGGCAGCAGGACGCATGGATCCTGCTCTACTGCTACTACAAACGGTTCAACTACGAGCCGGGCTGCGCCTTCGCCCACTGGCGATTCGAGGATCACCATGGGCACTGCCGGCTCAACTCCTCCTCCAATGCACCGTACAGCCTGTGGGGTCTTCTTGTGAATCGAAACATCACCATCCCAACGAGCCGGGGCACCATGTTCCTGGAGGTCTTCAGGACCTTCGCGCGGCTGGGCCTCTATGAGTTTTCCGAGGTGGTTTTTGCTGCCGTGGAGCATCTGGCCACCGATGCGGATCGGTATATGCTCGAGACCCAGCTGGACATGATGCTCAACAAACTGGACGAGGACTTTGTGCCCCACACCTTTGAGTTTGAGGAGGGCCCGGAAGGTGATTACTTGGTGGGTAATTCACACTTTAGACATCACAGATCTGACCCTCAAACTTAATCTCACAGGGCGCCATGAATGCCCAGATCAATGGCAATGTGGAGTTCTATCGAGGAAATCTGGAGGAGGCGGCCTTGTACTACGAGAGCGCCCTGATCATGCCGCCTCCCGAGGAGAACGAACGCGATTTCTTCGTGGTCAGTAGACTGCGCCTGGGTTACATATCCTACGAGCTGGGCAACTACCACAAGTGCATCGAAGCATTGAACTTTCCATTCGCTGGCCAACTGCTCTGCATTGCGGCCAGCTATATGATAGGCAAGTCCTACTACAAGCTGGACCTCTTGGAGATGGCGCTTGAGGCCTTCATTAGTGCCACCCACCTGGACACCCATGTGCCCAACGTTTGGGGTTTCCTGGCGCTAATTAACCTGAGGCTGGGCGAGAACTACAAGGCCATCGAGTGCTGGAAGTACGCCAAAATAGTAAGTTGAGCTATTTCTTTTTATGCTATGTGCTATATGCTTTCCGCAGGAGCCCAACTATCCCATTGACGACATGATGATCTATGAGGAACTGGACGCCATCGACTATGACACCGTTGACCTATACATCGATGGTCCCCATCAAGTGGTCGACGACATATTCAGGGACTCCCAATCGGACTCATAACTTGTATATTTTGTGTGAACCCATAAAGACCAACATTCTGGCTGCTCTGCTAAAATGGCTATGTTCATAATGGCTTCATCTGGGCCTGCATCCCATGGAGGTAAACGGAGGGGGTTTGTGGTGGCTTACTTTTTTCCACGAGGCTCATTTGTTGCTGTTTAGCTGGCGTGACTTGTTGACACAAGGTAATGAGACGGGGCGGCAGCAATTTGCTTGCATAAGACAGTCCACCCTGCCCACATATATGTGTACATACTGTATATACGAGTATCCTGGCTTTTTATAGAACCCATTCGAGGCTTGGGCCCCGCTGCTGCAGTCTGCATCCAAACATGGCCCACGGAGGAGGCATTAGCTCGATGGCCGGGCTGGAGGAGAAGCCAGCGGCCTGTGTGGCCAGCAGCACGGCCTTGGCCATTAGGAACTCGACCATAATCGCCCATCGGCTGTCCATTTACCTGCCCCAGCTGCTGCTGCCCTCTCGGGATCCCCAGAAGGCAGTGCATTCCCTGCTCCACAGCAATACCAAAAACTTAACTTATACTTGCTTACCTTCCAGCTCATCACCGAAATCAACTGCTACGTGGCCCAGTTTCGGGAGCTGCTCATCTTTATTGGCCAGGCGCGCGATTCCCCAGAGCTGCGCGAGAAGATCAGGAAGCTGAGGCGCAGCTGTGTGGATGCCTGCAAGCACACCGCCCACTTAATCACTCCCCAGCCGCGCCACTGCCTGGGCAGTCCCAGTGAAAGGATGCACTTGACCCTGCTCTACCACCTCACGCTGCAGTTTCAGCACGAGTTAATCAAGAGCCATCGTTTGATCCAACTGGTGCCCCTGGACATGACGGAGTACTATGGTTAGGCATCAGATACACTGGTCGAGTTGTTTGCTAAAGCATCTATGCTCCCTTTAGCTCCTTCCCGCACAGCTCCATCCAATCTGGGCAATGTCATCAGCCAATTCCTGCTGTGCAAGCAAATAAGCCCCGACTTCCAGCAGGAGGAGCTGTGCAGCATTGTAAAGGACTCGCAGGAGCTCAGCGAGCTTTTGGAGGAGCTGCAGGCCCACATGCCCTTGACGGAGGCATCTCCGGAATCCGACCTGGATCCAGCACAGAAATGTGAGTCAGCTTACGGTTCTTATACCCCCGGTTTTTATCGTTAATTGCTCAATCAATTTTTATCAATCTAGCTGAAAGCAGTCTTGTTTCCCTCAACACTCCGGAATGGTATGCCCGGCAGCGCAGGAGGAGTTGCAAGAGCCGGAGCCGTGGTCTTTGCTGCTGCCTGGCCAAGAACCCAGCCAGAACCTTTTAGAAAGAGGTGTCATTCAAGTTGGTAAGGGAATTAGAAACAAGGTACACAAATAGTTAGTGATAGTTTCCTAGAAACTAAATATTAAGCTTCATGTAAAGGAAATGAAAGCCTGTCGAAGATAGCACACATCTATCAACTGGAATCTAGCGATTTTCACCCATTAATAAGTCAATAAATCTGTAACAATAGCACTGTTCAATGATATCACACCAATTTTGGAAGCGATAAAACGTGTTCCCAGAAATGATAATAAATGCCAGTTATGCCGGCAAAGCAACACCTCAAAGAGACCCAAGGCAATAATCGTTCCGAAAGCGATTAAAAGAAATACAAGCCGAGTATTGCTGTTTTCTCGATTCGGGGAAGCTCCAGCAGAATGATGAAATCCGAAATCTGCGGCCATCACGCGGACAAAGGGGCATAAATTCACCAAGAGCTGGTTTAATCCCGCTTTACGATCCCCAGAAAGATGTCACATTTATGGGCGAGAATCCCAGAAGCGCTCAAATGTTTACAGACTACTTTGTGGAGCAGGTGCTGTCGGATTTGGGCAGGCGTCGCCCACCTGGCAACCATAAATTAGATTAGATTCCGGCTTACACCGCGTGCCTCTCGTCATTGGACAATGGCAACCAGGTTGAGCGGATCGCGATGCCGTGACTTTGCTGATAGAGATGCTTGGCAACAGAGATCGCGCATTAATTAGAATAATTAGAATTTGCTGGTTTGATTTTTGCATAGTTTAGGTATTTAATTTTAAAAATATGCCTGTCTTTTACAAAACATATCTCTACATTAAAAATATATATTTATGTATATTGTATGCAGATTTATGTGGTATATAATATATAGGTGTATATATTAGGTATAAACTTCTACATGTCATATGGATTTTCACAGAAAATCTTCAACTTTTGAGTAATGCTTTTCAATTGTTTCCTTGTGCGTGTTCTCACATCCTTAATTCCTTATTTTTTCTCATTTTTCGTGCTTTCACTTTCCCCCTTGGAGAGACTGTTCAATCCTGTAGTTACTTTGTTGAGCATTATGCAATTTGGAAGATTCTTTCTTTCGCTCACTGAGCCCTCCGCCGGCACCATCGCAGCTGGCTTTGATCTGTGCCCGCGGAGCTCCTCGCTTCGAACAAGCTTTGACACAAGGCAAAAAGCAACAACTAACTAATTGTTAACAACAATCTCTACACGATTACACGATTACACGGGCTGTTTGGTGTGTGTGTGTGGGTTATACAAAAATCATCATCTCATATCGCTATAGCTATCGTTAGACATTTGCTACATCATTGTAAATTCACTATTTGCTCACGATTCTTTCTGGCTAATATCACCATTATCACTGCAATGCCTAAACTCGGCTTAAGTCTAAGCAGAAGGAAGTCTTCTCCTGGATAGAACAGGTAATGTGTGCAAACAAAATGGTGCCATTAGAAGGTAAGCAAAGGAGCTAGCTTAGTTGCTAAACAGTTGCATAGTCACACAACGAAAACGAAACCGGTGAGGTGAGGCGAAATCATAAAACAAAAGAAAATGTGTGCAAAACAAAGAACTAAAGACTCAACGCTGCACAACAATAATAATTAACAGCTAAAAAGCTTAGTAATTAGGCCCTAAATTACGGGTGAGAGACTGTGTGTTTGGGTGTGCATGTGGGGCTGATTCTGCTCCAGCTTTCTGCTTTTGCTTTTGCTTCTGCTATCTGCTATATATCTGGATGAATGGCTGTGTGCGGGGGTGTGGCTGATGTGGAGGCGTGTTTGCAGTCTGGCTGTCGAGGAACTGGGCGGGGGACTCCGCTCTAGATGCGACCGCTTTTGCTCGCCGTCGACGTGGACAGCTGTTCCAGGCGGGAGCACAGCTCCTGGGCCAGGCGCAGTTGATTCGCTGCGGCGGCGGCACACGAGGTGGCGGCTCCAGCGGCTGCTCCAACGGGCAACTGGACTCCGGCCACGACTTCCGGGTAGCTGATGCACACGCCCACCCAGCGAGCTTGACTGCAGGCATGGGACTGCAAGGAAGAGAAGAGGTAATGGTTAGGTTAGTTTGGTAAGCAACACACAAACAAGTTCAGTTGAATTTCTATAACTCGAATATGGTTTATTTTCAAAAGTAACTTGAGGCGCAATATTTTGATGATTGTGCACAAACTAGAAGCTTGGAACATTTGTTTAAACAATCTACCAAAAGTAGTGTATGCACGTACAATCTAGAAAACCTCAATGTTAATTCCCGGCTTACAATGCTTTTTGGTGTTGACTTATCGAAAAAATGTGGAGGTGTCAAGCAAAGTTTTCTCAATTATTATCGGTTTCATTTTCTGTACTCCCAAATAATTAGTATCCATCAAAATGGGACTAGCAGAAAGGCTCAACACAGCAAACAAATGACTTGAGATAAAGAAATTTCAGTTATGACGAGCAGTAAATCCAGGAAATTTAACTTTGGTTCGAGCTACGTGAAATTCGACACTGGGAGATTCCACTCATTGACTTCAACTCACCATGGCGAAATCACGTTTCCACTGGACACCGCACTGGCCGTCGCACAGGGGACAGGGACGCTCCAGGCTGTAGCCACCGCACTCGCTGCAGTCGAGGGACACATGGTCGTCCGTCCAGGAGACGCCGCAGGTGAAGCAGGAGCCCATGTGCTGGCGCAGCTCCTCGATGGTCAGCACGTTGTCCATGCTGATCTCCAGGGGACTGCCCACCAGATCTGGCAGCGAGGCAGACAGGCCGAGATGGTGATGCCTGGAAGAGATTAGGCCGAAGCGGGGAATTCTTGTTTAGTAATCGTGACAAATTGCGGCTGGCGTCGGGCAACCGTGACCTTGCCAAGTGGGTGGCGGCGTGTGCTGGCGTGATTATGATAATGAGCGGAGTGGGAACTGTGATGGCCTAAGTGGGATGGGATGTGGGGATGCGGACGAGGGCAATGATTGGCAACTGTACCCGACTCTGCGGCGCGACTTTCGCCTGATCATGTGAGCGATGGCGACGGGCTTTTGTTGCTTTTGTGCGGCCCCAAAATGCGAAATGATAATGATACGACTGCGAATATATATGTTGTACATATAAACATAGGTAGACGTATATATGTTTATGGCTGTATACAAACACAGACGGACGCCGAACTGTTGAGCGCTGAAGGTGCTGGCCCCCTTCATTAATGGGCCAAAGTCGTGGCCAAATCGCAGGTGTGGTTTCTACGATACTGTATTGTATTGTATTGAGTGGTATTGTGGCGGTGTACTCTGCACCCTGGCCCAGTCGCCATTCCCCGCACGATTAGATTGCTTAAATCATGAATGAGCCACCAGCCACCAGTCACCACCAGTCCACGTCCCTTCGTATCCCCCACAAATTAGCCCTGACATTGTTTACAGCGATATTTAGCAAATGCGAAAACGGAAATGGAAGCGAATTAAATCGAATCGCTGCTTCCAGCTAAATGAATCATGAATGTACTGAATACATATGTCTATAGATCTGGAGATGGGCATCCAAATGGAAATACTTACGACAGGGGACTGCAGATGTCGGCGATTTGGGGACCGTGAACACTGGCGATCGACATGTTGGCTGCTGATGGCACTGCAAATAGGGAAAACAGAAGAAGTCAGTTAAAGTTCATCAAATGTAACAAGGTGAGTTCAATGCTGGTCAGGTATGTAGGTAGTTAACGATCGACGGCGAAGGTAAGCGAGCTTGTTGTACAGGTGCGTGACTCAAGTGTCGGACAGCTCGAGACTGTACCAAGCTGAGCTTCAGATCATTCAAATGGGTATATGTATCATTTTCCGCAGCAACTCGGACGACATTCTTGGCTAAAATTAACAACTATTCGTGGGGAAACTGAAGGTGGAGTGCGGACCAAGACTACAACCGCTGAAATCCGGTTGAAAGCACCATAAGCACACTACGAGGCCGTTGATCAGTGCGTCATCTCGTGTAGTTTCAATTGTTTGGGGCTCGAGTAATTAAGAAACTTTAATGTGCGAATTATTTGGAATTGGAAGGGGAACGTTAATGGCCCACGCTTGTGCCTCAAATGGGGGAATACTGTCTATAGGGTATGGCCAATACTGTGTGCCCGTCTACATTGTCCACACGATTTTGGCAAAGTTGCAAAAATCTTTCTGGCGAGCCGAGGCACATGACTGCCGTGGCGTCTGCTGGCCTGGCATCATAATAAATAAATAAATAAGTACGTATTCTGCGTTGTTATGCGGCCATCCGTTGGACGTTCTATATTTAGCTGGATCGAATCGAGAAAGTATGTATAATCACGGGACGTGCCCGAAATAAACCAAACAACATGGGATAGTCTGGGCATTGGTTGGCGCCCCTGCTTGGCTGCAGTTCGGTTTGAGCCTCTGCTGAGAGGCAATTTTCAGTTGCTGAAACGGCAACGGCGCAAAAGCGAAATTGCTGTAATTTATCCGATCCGAGCATATTGTGTGCCGCACACACAACTAGTTGCATTTCATTTGATTTTATTTATTTATAGAAGGGCACACACACAATGGCACAAAAATGGGGGAGACACCGACGGGCGCTTCAGTTTTTTGAGTTATTTTTGGCACGGAAATACTTACATTTGTTGGGTTATTTACAGCAACGGTTGTTGTTTTATGTTTTTTAGACAGCGCTATTAATAAATCCAAATTGGGATTTCTGTGCTGCTTTATTCGCCGTATTTATTGGTAATTGTAGTTGGCCTTGCGTAAGCCAGACAATCGAATTGCTTTTTATAATTGCCTGGACATTAACATTAACCGTTGGCAATTGTTATTGTATTGCTGTATTGTTTGTAACTTTTCACACGCGATGCGAGACAGTTAGCTCATGAAAATGCAATTGGCAATAGTTTGTATCTGAATGCAGTTGTTTGACTGGGACTGCAGCGCACTTTTATAGTTGGACTGGGAAGCGAAACTGAACTGTGTAGCTGGGACTCGGACTGATTTTCCCCAGATTCAATTCGATTCGATGCAAGTAGTTTTCTCCAGAGCCGAAAGACCAAGTGGGCAAGCACCTCGAACCGCGAAACTCAAATGAACGGCGCTCGCTGAGCTCACCTCGCTTTTATAGCCGATCTGACTGGCGAGAGCGGAGAGCCGTTCGTCAGCGCAGAGAGCGAGTGCGAATGCGAGAGACGAGCGAGTGATATTGCTCGGACCCGAACTCGAATTCGAATCGCATGACAAAGCAAAGCTAACGAACTGAACTTGCCAAAACACAAGCACACGCACGAATTAAAAAAATCACCCGAGTGCCGTGCAAAACACGTAATAAAGATCAAAACACAAGCAAAATGCCAAAACAAAGTCTGATGCTGACCAAATTAGCGGTAGTTGGCAACAGGAGCGGCTCTCAGCGAGAGCTAAAGAGAGCCAGAGATAAGAAACCAAAACAAAGCGATAACTAGCGAGTGTCCCGACCCGAGAATACCTGTTACTCGCTGGTGGTACGAATTATGTGATGTGAGGTGTCATTAAAGTGTCTTAGTCTTAGTTAAGTATTAAATTGTCAGCTAGTAAAATAGCCACCTTGAACTTGATCTAAGCTAAATCATACACGGCATTTAAATCAAACATGTTACATATCTCTCCACAGACACGTCATACCCTTTCTAATTCGCGAGAATCGGGTACCAGCACTGATGGCGAGAGGGCGAGAACATTTAACGGTCAAGCACAGCAGGCGAGCACCCTTACACCCATACCGATAACCAGATAGCCACACCGATATCTCCTCCATACGCCCCATCGGCCGGACGGTACGTATACGACACATTGACCGGACGGACACTAGTACATCGACTAGGTGTAATCGCCCGCTGGTTATTGACGCATGTCCAAGAAGACGGCAATCGAGATGCCCCCTGGCAACCGTCAGAGGAACCGACGGACGACGTTGCTTCATTTGAATAACAAATCAGTTCGCGCTATGACAGGTAGAGCGCCGGGCAAGGACAGGGACGGTTACGGGTTCGAATTCGGGTTCGTGTCCGTGACAACAGGGCAGGTGGAAAGCCAGAGGAAGGACGGAGCGAGGTAGCAGGAAGGTGCAGGTAGAGCGCATCCCTAATCACTAGATTCGCAGAGGCATCAACGGAAAATTTCATTAGGGGGTGTTTTCCCATAATCACAATATAACGACTATGTCCAATAACATGTTATTTGGAAAAGGACGTAGGACTCAAAAGAGATTTCGAATTATGCATCATTATGCATCAAAACAACTAAGCAGAACTGCGTTATTTTCAGACCTTGGTGGCCAGAAAGTTGGCCTAAATGGTATTTAATCAGGCAAAGATGACAATATCATGCTGATAGTATTATTCTTTCTCTGCGGTTATTTCCCAACCATAAATATACATAAACGCCATCCACCATTTTTCGCTTATCAATCTGCTCATAATCTTATCAGCAAAGTCCGCCGCCCACCCCCTTTTTTTTGCAGTGCGCGTGTCTCTGCGGCAAATTGTAAAAAAAAAAGTGTAATGGTGAAACCCACACGGTATATACGAGTATGTATGTATAATATGAAGACGAGGTGACTCCCGGGGCTGTCATCCCGCCGGAATGGAAATTTTCGCCAGCGCAGGCATGTTAATGGACAAAAACTGCAAAGCCAAACTGCAGCTAGGCGGGCCTAAGTTATGCAAATGAGCCGGGTTCCAAGGCGCGCGTCGCTCCAAAGGCGTCTCGAATTACGCCAGCCCAACGAAAAGGGAGCACCCCGGCCAAAGCCACAGCCACAGACACAGCCAAAAACCCAAAACCAGAGACGAACCAAAGCCGATCCGCGACCCTCGCCAAATTAATGCAATTCAGCGTCGCAGGCGACGGTCAACTACACACAGAACACACAGAACCAGATACATAACTACACTCGTACCCGGGCAGCATGCATAGTATAAACAATTAATGTTTATTTAGAAAGCAAGAACGGAACCCTCGCGATCCAGCACGCTTTTCACAGGCATTCAACTTTTGTCGCGACGCAGTTTCGAACTACACGGAGGGAAACGGAATCGGATACATTCCGGCGGATTTGGGTGGAGAATACTTCGATGGGAGGTGGACAGTCCACACCTCATGCGTTAAAAACATATTACTTTCGCTTGGCGTACTAAATCGCATAGCAGCTCAGGGTAATTGCTGGGTAAATGATCGCGATCATTTCGGGGCACTTTAGTTCTCCGCTGTGGAGATGGAAGCGGGGCACCATGGCAATGGGTTGGAGAAGCAGAAGAAGAAGGTCACACGGCAATTGCCCGAGATGCCCACACAAAAGAGCGACAGCCTCACCTCGGCGGAAATTGCGTCAGACAACGTGGGGATATTAGTACGAAAATAACAATATTTAAACAATATTTTCGCAAACCTTTTAAAAACCTATTAAGTGCCTCCGCAGTCACGCGTGTGTATATTTATACTCTTCCAATTCCAAATTCCGGATTAGTATAGCCAATTTTCAGTAACCCGTTCGAAAATAATAACAAATATATTTCGCCACCGGATGAATTAGGCTCGCAGTTGGACAGAAATATTTATTTCAATCTTATCGCTTGATTTATACGCCGGGAAGGTGTTATCATGGATTGAATATCATAAATACGTGTTTATAGGGGGCTGCTATTGAACTACTTATTATTTGACATTTTCAAACGAATATTATTTTGCGGTGCAGAGAAAAAACCCTTTCAATGCATACACGTGTTCATTTCAAAACGGAAAGCTGTTAGCATTTTCCGAAGTGTGCATGGAATTGCCGGCGATTTTCAATGGGAAAACTACAATCTAAGTGATTTACGTTTAAGTAGGTTTTTTCAGCTCTCCAAGGGCTCGTGGCGATTTTCAGCTAGCAAAATTGATTTAGAATGTATAAATCAGCAGCTCGACTTAATTGCACACTTGGCTTCCGCTCAGCTACCTTGCGGAAATAAATCTTTGATCATCTTTTAGATCATTGTCTATATTAGTTTGGCGTTCATTACGTACACAGTTTAGCGAAGCTTATTGGTGGATTTAAAAACGAATAAATCATTTAAATCATATTTGCAATATTATTAGTTCATCTACGATCGATCAATACTTCGACTTTTTCCCTAGTAACTCTATACGAACGTCATCAAAACAGACTATTTGGCCAGCTGGCGCAGGGTATTGCAATTTCGCCTATGCCACACACAGCTGCAAACTGTGTGTGCCACGATAGCCCCGGTGGAAGCATGCATAACCATGGTGTTCAAGTGCTGCTCGAAGACATGCGCTTCCTCTTCGGATTTGGCCAGCACGGGAGTCTTCGCTCCGCCTTGAGCGCTGTTCCGAGCAAGTTGCTCTGCAGCTAAGCAAACAAAGCTGCTCCTGAAAGTATCTGTTAATTATTGTTATGGGTGGCTGGTGTGGCCGGTGTGTAAATACTCAGCTCACATGCGGATGGATCCGTCACAGCCAAATGCAAAAACAAAGGCGACCACAACGACGGCTTGACGTCAATGGCGAAATGGGATGGGAAATCAGGAACCCAGCCCCGAAAGACAACAACCATCCAGGGCAGAAGCGCGGCCCCTGCGATTCGTGGGAGGCTGATTCACTGGACTGAGCGGGAATCTACGCCACATTTTGGCCAGTCAGCGCCACACTTTGATCGTAAAACTGGTCTTAGATTGGGGCTTGGGTGTCCATCATCACATGCTGATGCTAATGAGTTCGCTCGAATGCGACAAACCCGTTCCACGGGATTCCCTGGCCCCGAGATGCGAGTGTAAACAAACCGAAGTCAGATAGTCTGAAAATCAGAATTCCAACCTGCGGCTGGCTGTGCTATGGAAACCGTTTACTTAATTAATGGGGGAAAAGTACCCACGAATCTCTGGGTAAACTGCCAAAACGGGGCGTGACTCCGTCTGGGCGCAACAATCCAACGAAAGTGGCTATTGGTTCTATAATCACAGGCCCCATAGGTGCACTTAGTACTGGACCCCATCCCCTCCCCTTCGCCCCAACCGGATCGATCGCCAGACGAAACCGTTGACAAGGGCAATTAGAAAGCCAACGGACGACCCTGACCCTTGGCCCCCTTGGACATGCTAATTCCGCGGGTTTTGTAAGACTTCCACGTAATTAATTTGCATGCCGTGCCAGCGACGATAAAGCGATCTCGTCAATGGGAAATGGGAAAAGCTGCCATAAATAGGTCTGTGACATGTTATCTCACGGCGCCATTGCCTACGAATGTTTACGGATATATATAGATCGACCAACTGACTGATGACTGATACTGGCCGCGACCATGTCCATGACTGGAGACCCCAAGAAGGTGGCTCTCATCGAGCGCTCAGGTTCACGTGACCCTGGCCCTGGAAATGTGTGATTCGCCCAAGAACTGGAGCTGCATTCCTCACTGAATCTGGCGATGAGTTGCTGAAAGACCGCATCTATTATCAGTAAGCAGAAATGAGAGGGTTGTTATTTCTGAATGTCATGAGCAAAATGGGGTTTTATCTTGAATAACATGCATGTTTACTCATAACTAGATAAATACTAATATTGTAAGGGCTGTTGCCCAATTCGAAATATGTATGTTATTATGTATGTATGTTGTTATGTATTGGATAAATCGATAAATGTTATTTATATTGGGTAAACTTATTTCCTATAGCAAACTTATAAATAGAACGCGTTCTATTCAGGTTTAATGACGCCTCTTCAATATTTATAGATCTCGTTTATTTTGTGTGATCGTCTCACGATTATATACGTAAATATATCATACGTAACCTTCGCTAAACTTGACTGCAAGATGGGTGATAAAACCGCAACGTAGATAAGATCCAAGGGAAAGAATAATAGGGTAGGTTCTAGGAACAAAGTCTAACTAAGGTCTTCTAATCTAGTATAAGCTTATAAAACAGCACCGAATCGAGCAATAAAACATATAAAGCAATATAATGACAATAATTGCCTACAGCCTTCGTTGTTGAGAAATAAGAAAGAAAATAGGGTAACCCCAGAAACTTGAAGAAGCTAATGGCTGATTTGAAGGATTAACTTGCATTTCGAACTCTTTATAAAGAG